AAGAATAACAAATTAGAAGGAACAATTTTTTTTTTAAATACGAGGCTCTGAGCCCCATTTATTTATTTTTTATGTACACATTCATGAAGTAATCTTCATCATAACTAGCAAACTAAACATCATGTACATGTACTGCACAAATAATCATTACTCGCATAAAATTACATCAAAACGCATTTTAATGGCCAAATGAACCTTAAAATAGGCATTTTCCACCGAGAATAACACGAAGGTCGGCCATTGTTGTTGATCACGTGGTCTGGGAGCTGTTGCAGCGTCCATAGAAACCACCTTAGCAACCATGAATGTGTACATATTCATGAAGTAATCTTCGTCATAACCAGGGGTGGCGCCAGGGGGGAGCTAGGGGGTGCTGAAGCACCCCACAGGATTGCCAAAGCACCCCCTAAGCACCCCCAAGAAATATGTGTTTATTTTATTTTTTTCGAAAATTATTATTATTATTTTTATTAAATTAAATCAGAAAAATTATTGATTACATCAATGCAAATGTGAAACAAACAAATGTTTGACCAAAAACATAAAGCCAACACAGGTGATATGATTAGGCCAATGGCCAGCACCCATTAGATTTGTGACCTACCCATAGGCTAAATTACTTTGTGACACTTGAGTGACTTCCTGTTAGCTGGAGCCCCACATTATTTGCTAACAGCAAAGTGACAAATGGATCGTTTTTTAGTCCTTAAACGTCCACATGTGGACACTCAATCAAAACCAACTGAAAGCGAGAGGGATTCTGCACATAATAGGCCTCGTGAGTACAAGTAGCTTACTTCTGGGTCTCTGTGTTTCATTCAAGCTCTGCTCTGTGTGTGTGTGGCACGAGCCATTTTGTGTGCGTGCGCAAGCGAGCGAGAGAGAGAGAGCTCGCGCACCGGTGGGTATCTACCGGAGATCGTTGTGGTGCTAGCTAGCCAAGCTAACGGATATAAGGAGCTTTTTCAACAACAAGGTGGAGGGAGAACTATCTCCTGTCAGACGGAGAGTCTCAGATAACCTCAGCTCAGGTGAAGTAAAGGACTCTCAGTGTTTAGATGGTTAACTTTAGTCTAGTTATCTCAGTGGGTCTCAAACGGTTTGTTTTAAAAGGGGAGTGATTTGTAAAATATCTATAAAGAAATAGAAAATCTGTTTACAGTTCTGTTTCATATGTATGTTGAGAGATACAGTATATCCATAGATCTCTTCATTTTGCTCTCAAAGTGCACCAGATTGATGCTTTTAACTTCAATATTTAAAAAAAATCTTCCCGGAGCAAGCTCCCCCGGACCCCACTAGAGAAGGTGAGGACCCTCCTAGAGGAGGTGAGGTCCACACACCACTTTAAAGTAAAAATAGCACTTTACTCCTGCTTACACCTATGCCGTGAGCTGATTACCGAGCCTTCATTGTAACAGTCATTGTAATTGTTGCAGTAGAAAATGCAACTGTAGCGCTGGTGCATTAATGGGAAACCCTTAATGTTTGAGCACCCTCTATGAAACGTCAAGCTACCCCACAGCACCCCCTAGAGAAAATCTCTGGCGCCGCCACTGGTCATAACTAGCAAACTAAACATCATGTACATCTACTGCACAAATAATCAGAAATAACAACTCATATTAATCGCATAAAATGACATCAAAACGCATTTTAATGGACAAATGAACCTTAAAATAGGCATTTTCCACCGAGAATAACACGAAGGTCGGCCATTGTTGTTGATCACGTGGTCTATGAAGGTCTATGGGACGCCCTGCCCGTAGAAGCCTGACGGTCAAGGGGTATCCTGTACGTAATATAGCGACGGGGATGGGCCCTGACCGTCCGTCAATATGTGACGGGATGGGAGTGAGAACGTGTTGCCTAAACATCTACTTGGACAATGTGAATTGAATGATAAACCGATCACTGTCAATGAAACGCGGAGATAAGCAGCAGTGCAAATCGTTAAGTCTATTACCTTGTATGCACTACGACATTAACTTGGTAAAATGTAATGTGTTTTTATGAAAATGTGTTGAATGTTGTGTTTTCAATCAAACAACCATTACAAAATGAAAATGTGTTTTATTTTTTGCTTTCATATATAGTAATAGTATTGTAAACGAAACATTTAAAGTGTATCATGTGCTCTCATTGTATGCTCTGTTTTTGACACAAAGATGCATTACATCTAAAAACAATGTCAATTCCACCACATATATATCTTATTTTAACCCTATAATGTATTTACTTTAAAGAGTCCTCTCCTGCTGATATTCAGGTATGTGTCTGCATATGGTATCTCTGCTTTAAAGAGTCCTTTGTCCAGGTGATTAACGATGCTTCTTTTGTCCCCCCAGAGTGAAACTCTGCCCTTGCATTGATCTTCAGTAGACAAAGCCTTGTATGTCTGTAAATGAATATTTTAATTTACCCTCACACTGTTGATTCTATGTATTTTAAGTGTTTACAGCTTTTCTTTGTTCACAAGAACTACAACTAAAGAGAACATCCTTAGTTATCACTATTAAAACCTAAATAAGATCTTTTAAAAATTAATATGAATGCCCTCTTTGCAAACAGATACTTCCTTGTAGTTAACAGTTTCACAAAAACTTAAAAAGAAACATGAGGAGTCATCTGCAAAAAGTGAGAGTCTTTTTCACCAGTCAAACCTTTTTGTTGTTGCATACAGCAAATTATAATATTACCCCCATACAACCTCACATAACTTCATATTGGGCTTCCTTATAGTTGTGTGAAGAAATTAAATAATAAAAAAGACAAAGATCAAGGGGGCAATAGGATATTTGATTATTTCCCTCTTTACGTATTTGAAAGTACACAACCGGGGAAAATCTGCCACTTCCTCACAGAGCCCCTCCTCCAACACACATGAACGCGCGCACATGACCAAAGAGGGTACGAGATAAGCTTGTGCACAGATCTTCGGCTGGAGGCGTCTGAACCCCGCACAGATGCTGCATTCGTTTCTTGACTGGCGCTCCGGACGGATGGCGGTAAGTTGTCACAGGCCTCTCGCTGATTAAACCCATATCGAGACATCTCTTGGCCATTTTTATTTTTTGAAAGGTGACTTGGTGAGTGGAAATTACTGTCTTTTTAATTAGTTTGAGCGTATTTCTATTTTCACCTAATTCCACCCCCCATTATCTGCTGGCCTCATAGCCAAAGGAAGGGGTGGAGAAAGGGGGAGAGGCCTGGGCTGTGAGGGGGCGGGGGGCTAGACAGTCTCACGCATAACTTCAAAGAGACACCTAGATTAACATCAGAGGCTTATAACACACCGTGTGAAATCACACCTGCCTGTTATAACACCTCAACCCTTACATCAAAGGGCAAAAATGAAAGGCTAATTAGATTATACAACTCTGAGGGGACAGGGGCCAGACAGTCTCACGCATAACTTCAAAGAGACTGCCTTAATCAACACCTAGATTAACATCAGAGGCTTATATCACACCTACCAGTTATAACACCTCACATCAAAAGATTAGACTACAAAGGGGTGTGAGGGGGCAGGGGCCCAGACAACATAACTTCAAAGAGACTGCCTTAATCAACACATCAAAGGATTAGACAACAAAGGCACTACACAGGGGGGCTTTTCACACCTACCTGTTATAACACCTCACCCCTCACATCAAAGGATCTCGAACAAAGGGAGGCGGGACTTAGCTCATTAACATAATTGTACCCCCACACATCAAAGGATCTCGAACAATGGGAGGCGGGACTTAGCTCATTTGCATAATTGGGGGCGTGTCACGTGTCACTTTTCATGCATACTAATGTGATTGAAGCGGGATGAATATAACTACTCATGAAAAAGCTAAAAAAACTATTGAATACAGTATATTTGGAGCAACTTAATTTATAAATGGTTGTCAACTTAAAAACGTGTGTTCACAATGATGGTAATTAAGTGCATACAACTTAAAATTCCTTTTAAATCATGTGATAAAACTAGTCGGAACAACTTAATCTTTTAAGTAATCAACTTCAAAACCTGTGTTTATGCTACCAATTATTAAGTAAGTGGTAATTCAAAACACCTCTGATTGTAGAGGAAAAGCCTTCTCCCCTAACTCAAATAACTTTGTTGCTTTAAGACAATTTCATTAGAAGTTGTCTTAACTCAATAAACATTGATGCAAACTGTTGCGTTGATATTTTTTGTTGAGCCAAGGCATTTGTTTTTAGAGTGTGTTCTTGCTGTTCAGAAAAGGAATGATGCTTGCAATAATTAGTTATAACAAATATACAACAGCATGCAACAGGATTAAACTGCAGTGGAATTATTGGAATTAATCAAAAGCTTTAGTGGCTGTTCTAAAAATGTTTTGTAGATCTTTTGCTCAATAATAACACACAGTCCTGGGTGGAAAAGGAGTAATGAAATCCCAAAAATCTCAGCAACTGGAAAATAAATGAATAAATAATGTCAATCTTTTCAGAACCATCCAACTATAATATTTCAAAATCTCAACGGATCAGTAGGAAACTATACATACCAATACTAGAAGTAAAGATTAAAAAATGGTAGAGTAATGATCGTATTGAGAATCATATGTGTGTTAAATCTCTTTGAGTTAATTCTGAGCTTTTATTTAAAAGACTTATAAATCAAGAACAAACATGTTAAACATAGAGCAAATAGCAGATGTTCCTTTTACATTCATTCTAGCACTAACCTGTAAGGGTGTGGTTGCTGCAAGCTATATAGGCCTGATGTGGCTGGGAAATGAGATGCAAATACTATGAAGTTACTCTTTCACTTATCTCCATGTATGCTATGTTTTTGCATTCATGATTATCCTGTCATCTGGCAACAATACCCAATGTTGGACACAATGTACACACGTCTCTTTGCCTTAAGTTATTAAGTATTCAAGGTATGAGGACGAAGCTAAACTAAAATTCCACAACAAAATAATGAAGTGGGATTTATTATACTTATAACAACTTCTTGATGTTGTCTTTAAGCAGATATGGCCTCCGCTGCAGCATCACCCACCCCCTCACTGGAGAAGCAATTGCAATGCTCCATCTGCCTAGATCTATTTAAGGATCCCGTCACTACAGTGTGTGGTAGGGCTGCACGATTTTGGGAAAAAATCTAATTGCGATTTTTCTGATAAATATTGCGATTGCGATTCGAATTGCGATATTTATTTTTAAGCGACCCAACGGAAGTTTATTGTAAAATGCGGCCATAACTCCGGCTAGGAAGGTCGTATCAACGTGCTCCCGTCTCTAGCGCCCCCGCGGCCCGAGCTACGAGTGAAAGAACTAAACTTACATGAAACTTCCGTTGGGTTGCTTTAAAGTCAAGCTTCAGTTTAAGACTCACCCTGTAATAGATGTAGAACATGTGATGGAGCATTACTAACCTGACTCAGATGCTTTGTTTCACCAAACCATCTAGGAAAGCTCCATTGGAAGCCATTTGGAAAGGGCAGGCACTTTCAAAAGCACTTGGCAGGTGATTGGATCAATCTGTCTATCACCTTCTATCATGGGCCACTTTTGATTGATTAGCAATGGCTGGCACATGTGGAGCACAGCACTTCTGATTGGTGTGGATGACTGACACACAAGAAAAGAAAAAAAAATTGTAAAAAAAAAAAGAAATAAGTAAAAAAGAATCGCAGGCTTTGCGATTTGATAATCGCATCATTTCAAATCGCGATTTCGATTTAAAATCGATTAATCGTTCAGCCCTAGCGTGTGGCCACTCTTTTTGTAAGGAATGTTTGCAACGTTACTTTAGCCTCAGTGTTCAAGCGTGCCCACTATGCAAGAAGCATCTGATGAAAACCCCAGAGTCGAACATCGTCCTGAGAAGCATTGTCGAACAGGTGAAAAATATCCCGGAGGAAGACGTTGAGAAGTACACCGGGGCGCCCGGCGAAGTGGCCTGTGACATTTGCACAGAACGAAAGCTCAAGGCTACAAAGTCCTGCCTTGCATCGTATTGTTTGACCCACCTTGAGAATCATTCTTCAACTGAAAGGTTGAAGGGCCACAAGTTGGTGCATCCTGTCGAGAACCTGGATGAGAGGGCCTGTCTGAAGCATGGACGGCCCTTGGAGCTGTACAGCAGAAAGAGGGAGAAATGCATTTGTGTACGCTGTTTGGAAGAAGATCAGGAGGAGGTTGTGTCTACTGAACACGAATGGGACAAGAAGAAGGTGAATTCAAAGTCTTGACAGTGCTATGTTTTAGCTTGCATCCATGTTGTGCAAATCAATATGCAAACACACTTTAAGAAGGTACACAAAGGCAGGGTTTGCTGAGGTATTGACTTGCTTTTCTGTGTTTACAGGTCAAGCTTGAAAACACAAAGGCAGACTTGCAAGAGAAGATTAAGAAGGGGAAAGCACTGGTGGATGAGATTAATACATCTCTAAATAGCTGCAAGGTAAGCTGCAAGAGAGACAAATGTTAGCTTCCTACCAGTCTTCAAAACTGGCTGAGCAAGTTCTCAAAGAGTATGACATTTAAGCGGAAACATAGTGTGGTATTTAAAGTTTCCCTTGCAAATTAAAATGATGGTACTTGGGCCAGTTGCTATAAATATTTACCTTTATCTACAGTTTACCCATCTAGGCTATTGGTTCAGCTCTAAAACACCCAACCTGTGCCAGAATTGCTCTCTCCAGATTTAGTTAAACTGTGACCAGCGTTGAAGCAATCCAAATAAATTCTAACCCTAACCCTGAATCATTTCAGGACCAAATGGACAAAGAGTGGTGGGATATTGAGGGTGTGTTCAGCGCTTTGATTGCCAATGTGGAGGAAGCCCAAGCTGCGGCTCTTAAGCCACTAAAGGACAGAAGGGAGGTTGTGGAGAAAGATGCAAAATACATCAAAGAGAATTTGGAAAAAGATATTAGAGAACTTGAGAAAACGGTCTCTCAGCTGGACGATATATCTGCGCTTGAAGATCACACCTTTTCCTTCAGGTGAGAGGAATGGACCTTGTTTGAGTAATACAGTGGGGTCATTTGTTTACATGTCGAGCAACAACCAGTCCAGCTACTGTGGCTTGTATGATTTGATCTTATTCTCTGTATGTCTGTTGGTAAATCCCAAGACTATTCCTCTTTCTTTGTCTCAGAGGTACCCATCACTTCAAGAGTTGGACTTCAAAGACTCAATGAAGGTAGAGCTTAACACATCAGTGTCTTTTGGCACCATAAGAAAGACCACAACAGCCATGTTGGAACAATTTCAACAGCAACTGGACAAGCTGACCTCCATTGGTAAAAGTTAAAATCATGATAATGAATGTTAAGATCTAAAATGTTGACAAAATTGATTCAGTCCTCACGAGGAGAAAAACTCTGGTCCTTTGATCATTTCTGCTGTGAAACATTGCGAGAAGGATGTCAATGAAGTGAAGAAAGTGCAAGACTAGCAGTTCAAATGTTGTCTTTTTCTGGGAGTTTGGTAAATCCTTCCCCATCGAAGCGTGATGAATTTGCAATAATTAATCAATAGCGGAGTTGTGAGGAATCTGTAGAATTAGAATTTATAAAATGTTTTGTGAATTGTAGGTGGAACTATAAATGATGAGTCGGCAACACGGTGTACTGAAAACAAGCCTTTGGGAATAATAATGCAATATTAGGGGATGCTATTCAGCTACATTTCCATTAGCATTAGGGTAGCGTAGTAGTTGGTGGTGTCATTGAAAAGACCACAAAATACTGAGTGTCTTTATGTATTATATTCATGTTTTTCTTTATTATATTCAACCTTCAACAAAGCTGTAGCTGAATACCACATTTTCATATACAGCCATTATACAGGCTAAATGCATTCAAAGGTTTAACACTGTTTTATGAACAAATTGGTATAAATGATAGTATAAGATTTATTCAACTTAATTACAAACAATGATATATTTTTTTGTATTTACTTTCTTTGATTGGGTGGAGAGGGGATTGTTTTACTGGGCAGGAAATATCAAGTTTGTGTCTTCATACAATGTACCCTCAATATTTACAACATATACTGTAATAACATATTTTTGAATTATTACATAAATAAAAAATAAACTATTGATAACAAATCAAGTTTCTCTTTTCTTTTTGTGTGAGATTTCCTGTTTCACAAAAAAGGCACTATTTTTGTGAAACAGGAACTCTCATGAATCATTTTTCAAATTAGCCTTTTATTTGTTGTACTTTAAAGGTGGGGTAGGTCATTTTGGAGAAACCAGCTCGAGTGTGCTAGAATTTGAAAATATACAAATACACAATCATATGTATTAATTGTGTGTTAGCTCTTTGCTACGCCAAAAGGCCACTTATTTTATTAGATGCACAGGAAATGAAAAAGAGATGAGTTTCTTCTTCTTTTTTTAAGGTGTTGTTCAACATGATATCGTGTGCAGGTGGGGGGATTTTAGGGAATGCATATTTGTTGTTGTCAGAAACGAAACTGAAACAGTTCAGAATGAACAAATAGGAGGAGAGACCGAGAGACAGATCACTCAGAGGATCGCGAGGAGAGAGAGACAAGGTAAGATGCAGCTTGACAGCCAATCTGAAGTAAAAGTACTCATAATGCAGATTTCATTTCAAAATAATATATATGATATGTTTTGATTATAATTATTGATGCATTTAAGTGTTATGAAAGCTGGTAAAGGTGCAGCTAGTTTGAATGACTTTGTATACTGCAGGGTTGTGAATTTACTCCAGGTGTAACTAAAGTCTGATTTAAGTGTATATTATATTTCAGATCATTAATCCAAATCTGTAAAGAAGCTAAAGGTATTACAAATGTTTAGTGAAGTTAAAGTACACCATTTACCTCTAAATTGTAGGGGAATAGAAGTACAATTTAAAAACTTGAGTGCAACCTCAAAATCTTACTTAAGTAGCCTACAGTACTTAAGTAAATTATTCGTTACTTCCACCACTGATCTTTTTGCCTAGGGCACCATATCTGGGGCAGCGCTGCGCTTGCAGCTCTGGGAGGGAAAAACCCTTTGTGACTGTCGCCGCTCTGCCCGCTCATCCTAATTTTCGGCCTTGATGTAACAATATTCACAATTAAGTAAATCTAACACCCTTTTCACCCCGGTTACACTTTTCATTTGCCCTAGACGATGGGCGCTGTAAGTGATGAAAGTGGGGTGTGTTGGCCCCCACTTTCATCACTTACAGCCAACACTGTGGCTTATCAGGCGTCCGCGGCCAACACCCCCCACTTTCATCACTTACAGCGCCCATCGCCTGATAAGCCAACACTGCTGGCTTATCAGGCGTCCGCAGCTCACAGCCAAAGTGGGCGTGGGAGCGAGCGAGCGAGAGAGATAAATGCAATTTATGAAAACAAATATTTCCAATGCACACCTTTATAATTATTGGAATAAACAGGTTTGAAATCATTTCAATGTATACGACAGTAAACCAAAAATATCGTTTAAAACTGGAGAGATAAAAGAATATGCATAAATAAACATTAACTATAGGTAAAATAAGATGAACAATACAAATAAAATAAGTTACATTTATTTGTTATTGGCTATGTTAGGTTGTTGGTTATGTTCACATACTTATTTGGTTATTAAAATGTAAACAGATCTTTTTCATATGGGTGTTTAGAGTTGTACCCCCTGGATCTAATCAATAGTAATTGTGTGCTCAAAGTGCACCAGATTGAAGCATTTTACTTTAAAATGTTCAAACATTTCTTTCCGGGGGGGCATACCCCTGGACCCCCCTAGAAGATGCGACGTCCACACCCCAATTAAAACATGTTTATACAATACTGAATACATTTGAAGCCTTGTTTATGTATATTATCTATGTCAATACGTTTTTTGTAGTGTATTTGTCTTTTGTAGAGATTTTTCATTTATTAATTATATATTCTGTTGTGTATTCCTTGGATACTTTTATCTTTTCTACTGGCAGGGGGGGTTGGTCTCCAGCTAAACTCTTGCCTGTCTAGGGCAGCAAATTGGTTAGAACCGGCCCTGCTCTCTCGTCTGTGTGCAGGGGGCTGCTCGCTCACAGACACGCTGCATTTCTCTCTCTCTATATCTCTCTCTCTCTCAATTCAATCGCTTGAGTAGCATGACCATAGTTACAGGGGTTAAATTGTCTAAGCCCTGGCACAGAGGACGATGCTCTGACGTCATCATCACCCTCGCACATTTCTCATATGTTTGTCATAAACGATATATATGTTAAAACTTTTCTCGTTCTTATTAATATAGACTATATTTAGGCTCAATATGTGTTGACTTTACTTTAAAATAGCAGAGCTCTGAGACCGGATATCGGGTTTTTTCGGCTTAGTGAACGTGTGCCAATTTAACCCCTGCATACAGTATTGCCAAAGCTCTGTTGCAACATCTATACACAAATACATACACAAACAAACTGCTAAGAATTTGAACAGCAAGAACATGTTTTTATTTGTGTTTTTTACAAGGAATACAGATTCATTTAAATTCATATATAATACATTGCTCTCTCCAGCGCCGTGCACACAGAGATCTACATGTATTCCGTTACAACCCAACCCTGCCCACGCTACAATAAACACAGTGGGGAGTGTGTGGAAAATATAATCGTTTAATAGACTGCAAAAATATGTAAATAAAGTTTCCTATGATTAATGTTTTTAATTTCCCAGTTTGTTCAAACCTATCTTACACACATAGTAGCATTTTTTAAGATACAAAATTGTTACAATGTATATAAGAAATAATGATTGAATACATACATGAGAAATGATGACTAATAAAATATTTTGTTCTCATTATATAATTTTTTATTTATTTACTTATTCACTGATTGATCTAACCCTATTTTAAGTTGTATACTGTTTTAAAATAATGCTTTTTCTACATACTAATAGATAATTATCCCTGACATGCTGTATCTACGCTATTTTAGATTACTTTTAGCTAAGTATTTGTCAATGTAACACGAAGTACTGTAGAGTACCTCTAGAGGGCGACTAATCACTGTCTAATCTCAGTCATCTTTAACCACATCAATAATGACTTTTGGGGACTCATCTGGTGACAATTAAGATCTTAAAATTGGGTTTTAATTTCTTCTTCAAATGTCCCCATAACAATTAAGTTTTAAGAAATCTTTATTTACATTCAATCTAAGGAAAACGGTGATTTGCCTCAAATGCAATTAAGTTTTAATAGATACAAAGCAGAGACCTCCTGTGAACTCTGAACATCTTGGGTGGCATGTGTTGCTTCTATGTGGAGCACGTCCTTTCCTAATGTCTGTGTGTGACCTCTACAGATGTCCAGCATGCAGGTTTGCCACTGCGGATGGTCCAACGTCACCACCTACCATGGTCTGAGGATTCACCAGGGGAAGATGGGATGCACACAGAGGGGAATGAGTATCCCTGAGAGGGAACAAATCAGATTACCAAATTACATTACATCTTCCGACATTGGATCCAATAGCTGGATTACTCCAGTCCGGAAGGAGGTACATTCTAACAAATGTATAGATTATGAGTTCCTATTAGGGGTGTAACGGTATCCGTATTCGTCCCGTACCGTCACGGTTCGGCACACGCAGTCACACGACGAATACGCCTTTTTTTTTTAGAGTGGGAACAAAATCTGTCATTCAGGGCAGTATCCACTACACTATATATAATCCAGGGGGCGGTATTGCGCCTAAAAGCTGTTTGCCAGCCGCCCTTAAACAACAAATGAAGAACAAGAAGAAACACAACAACAAAACGAACAAAATACAAGAAGAACAGTTAGTATGGCGATGTCAGATAACACACAGGAGCTAGAACCCACCTGCTTCTTTTAAATCAGCTGTGTGGGAACATTTCGGGTTCCCTGTGGACTACAATAACGATGGAGTGCGAGTGGTGGATCGGACGAGGACGGTGTGTCACCGTTGTTAGACAGCGGTGCGGTACGCTAATGTCAACACACGCCAAGCATGCTAAATCATATCAGAAGGCATCACCCAGATTTGCCAATCACCGGAGCCCGGCAAAAGACAACAGCAGTTCAGCAGCTGATCCCCGCTGTTTTTAAGAAGCCAATAGACATGAAAGCCGTGAGACCAAAATAAATAACGGAAGCTTTTGGCGTATGTTTTTCAACGACTTTGCGCTCTTGAAACACTTTCTTATTATTTATGATGTCATATTTTCAAGACATTCTTTTTAGCTTTACAGCTTGATGAAACCTTTTTGTTTGACATCAGCTATTATAGATAATATGGCCATCTGAGTGTACTGTGTATGGTTTGTTTGTAACTGTTTAATACAGTTAATTATTCAAAATGTCAGTTCTTTATTTTTAAACTGAAACTTGCACTACTGTTCAAACATAAATAACAACAAACCTGGAATTATGCATTTGGGACTTTTTTTTGCTTTTTCTTGTTGTACCGAACCGTACCGAACCGTGACCTCCAAACCGAGGTACGAACCGAACCGTGACTTCTGTGAACCGTTACACCCCTAGTTCTTATACATAAAAACAAATAAACTTAGTCTTTTAGTTAAAATAATGACAAACATGATGTCTTGATTCAAACCACAATTAAGAATGACTGTATTGTGGACCGTGAGAATAATTATCATGTTGCCTTAGCTTTACATCGTTCCAGAAGATGTTGAGAAGCAATTGTTGCTTCGATAAATGTGGAGTAAGTGCTTTGTTTATGTGTGTGACCTCTAAAGATAACCAACACATCAGACAAGAGCATGCAGATGTGCGACTGCGGATGGTCCAAAGTCACCACCTACCATGGTCTGAGGACTCACCAGGGGATGATGGGATGCACACAGAGGGGAATGAGTATCCCTGAGAGGGAACAAATCAGATTTCCAAATTACATTACATCTTCCAACATTGGATCCAATAGCTGGATTACTCTAGTCCAGAAGGAGGTACATTCTAACAAATGTATAGATTATGAGTTCCTATACATAAAAACAAATAAACTTAGTCTTTTAGTTAAAATAATGACAAACATGATGTCTTGGTTCAAACCACAATTAAGAATGACTGTATTGTGGACCGTGAGAATAATTATCATGTTGCCTTAGCTTTACATCGTTCCAGAAGATGTTGAGAAGCAATTGTTGCTTCGATAAATGTGGAGTAAGTGCTTTGTTTATGTGTGTGACCTCTAAAGATAACCAACACATCAGACAAGAGCATGCAGATGTGCTACTGCGGATGGTCCAACGTCACCACCTACCAGGGTCTGAGGACTCACCAGGGGATGATGGGATGCACACCGAGGGGAATGGAAACCCCTGAGAGTGAACAATTTAGATTTACAGGTTACAAGTATACAAATGCTGACAGTGGACCTTCAATCAAAATAGACAACACTTTGACTCCCCCCTACCACAGCAAAACTCATCAAAACACCAACAACGTTCGTAGAGCGCTCGATTTCTCCACCGGTGCACAGCAGCTACAACAGGTCTCATGTTATTTGAATGTCCCGCTGGAGAGTAAATCCTACCTGATTGATGGAGTTTAGAGAATTCCTTGTTGTAACGATGCATCGCTTTTAAATGTACCTTCTTTAATAGATCCATTGCAGCCTGAAATGTATACTATCTTTGGGTCTAGCTTGCACTAAGTGCCTTCCTCCTTTAGGTGGAGCAGTACTGGGAACTTCCAACAACTTCCAACAACCACAGCTCAAGGCCCACTGCCTTCCAATTAAAGGAGATGGAGAAGGAGATGGAGGCTCAAAAATCACAAGAGGCACTTCACTTTAAATTATACAATGTTTAATTAGATAAAACTAGCAGTATGAAATGTTTGCCTATTGTTAGGTCTGTTGGTTCACCACTATGGTCTGGTCTTAAATATTTCAACAACTCTCAAATGAAGCTCCATGAAATGTGGTACTGATATCCACGGTGCCCACAGGAAGCATCCTACAGCCTTTGGTAGAACTTTGACTTTTGACGTAATGCTATCCATATCTGTATAAGAAGTGAAAGTAGTCAGTGTTGGAGCCGTGTATTCATATGAAAGCTGCTCAGTAGCTCAATTGTTTCAAACTCATAGGCTTCCAACCTTTGTTGTCACCCCCTACTGGCCATTTCAAAGAATACCTGTTTAAAGAATTTAGCATAGTCCTCACTTTTCGTACCATGATATCAAGGATTACTCGTCCAGTTTTTCAACATCTTCAAGATACATTGGCCAAATTGCTATTGAAGACATTTCTGGTCACTAGATGTTATATCCTTGGGCCATGGGTGTTTCCCAGTTCCCATATTCTAGTGCCACCAGCAGGTGCATATTTGTTGTGTTAAGGTATTGTCCCATGAGCTTCGGATGGGTTTAAATGGAAGTTATGCTCCCCTCAGCTTTTATTGGCCTTTACTGTATTGGCAATCTAATAAAAGTACTTTGTGTCTTTACTCAAGATGAGGCAGGACATGATAAGGGCTGATTTACAGCAGAAAATGCAGACAAGAGAACAGAAGATTTCTGAAGTCACATCATCTGTAAAAGCCTGCATGGTGAGCCGAAGCAGATTATTTACATTTTCTCCCTTGATTAAGGTTTTTTTCAACATCCTCATCATCCGTTACTCTTTTCAGGGCGGCTTGGATGCCGAATGTCTGGAGATCAACAGCGTTTTCTCAGAAGTGATGAAAGTGGTGGAGGACTCTCGGCAGGAGGCCCTTCAACCTCTGGAGGAGAGGTGGGTGGCTCAGTAAATATCGCAGTGATTTATGACATTAACTGCACCAATGTTAAGGTCATCAATAAATAAAACTGCCTATTGTTACTGTATGTTATTTTAGGAGACAGAGAGTGAGTAGAGAAGGAAAAGATCTGGTCAAGAAGCTGCAGAAGGAAATTGACAAAATCTTTCAGACCATTGATGAGTGGGAAGAAAATGGCGACTGGCAGGTAAGACATCCAAACCTTTGGCATTTTTCTATCATTAAAGGAATGGTATGCTCATGACACTCATTTAAAATTGGTTATCATCCGATAAAACAGACCAGTCTCTGCCAGTCTCTCTTTTTTTTTTTTTATCCGATAACATTATCAGTGATTTTAAACTGATTAATTACCGAAATAACATCAACACTGTGGGCGGCGCCATTTTACCGGACGTGACGTAAACCATGCGTTTGGTTTCGAGGACACGTTGATGTTCATGTTATTTACTGTAGTTACTCTCTTCAAATATGCCTCATTGTATCGCGAAACATTGCCACAATTCTGATAGGAACAATCCACGGAATGCTCGGTTCTATCTGTTGCCAAAAGGTAAGCGTAGGAAGTACGTTCGGAGGCAGTGGCTAGCGAAATGTGGCCGGCCCGAACCGAAAGATCCACAGGCGCATGTATGCAGCGAACATTTCAAGTTTCCGGACGACTACTCTGAGAGTATGATAAAACATAACATGGGATTTATTGAACAACCATTACTTAATGGAGATGCATTACCATCGGTCTTTCTGGTGTCATCACCAACCAGGACACCAGTTCGGCCAGTTGAGAAATCGCCCTCTGCAAGTGTGAAGCGACGGAGGACCAGAAGTAGTGCTCGGAGTAAGAATAAGGTATGTTATGGCGCGTTTCCATTGCAGCGGGTAGCCCGGTTTAAACGTCCTTTATCGTCCAGGCCAGGCCAGTTTTTGGTGGCCTTTCCATATAGCGTAGTACCGGCTAGTGGGTATTTCCCCCCAGTTTTTCCGGCCCCATAAAATCGTGGTTCTAGGGCCAGGGACAACGAGGCTGAGTATGCTAAACTAGAGAGGGAATCGCTAGCAAGGGTGGTACTACATGCATACATATCTAGTAATCAAAATCATTGTATCTACTAAGTAGTACTAAGTAGGCTCGAACCTGTATGGCAGAATTCCCCCTTCCAATCTCTTCATATTGCTCAAAACTTCGCCATGTTTTCGTGTGTTTACCATAGACTGTATATGGTGTTTACAAAGTGAACGCATGGATGACGTCACGACCATCACGTGACTACTGAAAATGGGCAAAATGGCAGCGGCCTGACGGAATATACAGGTTTTGATAAAAAAAGAGCTATAAAATCATTATTTACCAGGGAATATCGCTGATTTCTTCAGGGTATGGTTTAAACATAATGTTTCACTAAATACTGAAATTTTGATTAATTATCTAATGAGTGGAGCATTCCTTTAAACAAGTCATTTGGCCTCTATAATGCTAGATGTCAGTATGCGAGGACAATATCCAGATCCAGGGGACACTAAAAGGTTTATACTGAGAATGTGACATTTATCCCACAGGGTCTTCCTAAAACAGGCCTGGATGAATCTCGAGATTGGAAAAATGTCACTGTTGACACTTCATTCTCCTTTGGGTCACTGAGAGCTACAACATCGAGCATGATGGAACAAATTCACCAGGAACTTGAAAAACTCTCTTCTGTTGGTATGTTCTTGACGTTAAAACGTGAAAACTCAAGCACCATTGCTTTCTTTGTGTTTCGTAAAATAATAAAACAGGCCTCATAGGGAACCAATCTGAATGAAGATGTTTTTCTTATTCTACAGGCGTTACATTTAAAGCAAAAACCTATTCATTGCCTATTGCATATCACGTAATGTTTTTAAATCTAACACTATTTCTCTTTCCACAGAACCCAAGAGGATTCCCAGATATGCAGGTGTGTGACCCAGAATATTAAGAGAAAATGCCAGAAATTAAACATTGAAACCTGGTCGAGGTTTGAAAGAAAACAGCTCCAGGCACTCACGAGAGGAGTGATAATATCCTATAGATATTAAGCAGATCTGTTGGTTGGATTCAGTTTCATCAGCATTTGTTTGTTGAGAGCATTTCATGTCTGACCCACCGAGCATACCCCTCCATTTTTGGTAAAACATTTTCCACACACAAACAAACTCTTTGCAGTCTTAAAGTTGGACTTTTTGATCACATATCTCTCCACTTAGTCACTAGAGGCATTTTCTGAACCTGTGTTTTTTCTTGGGAGGACTTGTATGAACAAGCTGTGACCTTAAAAAAACCCATTTGGTCCTACTTGTAGAGCAATATTTTTGAAGTTATACATTTTAAAGCTTTATTCTTTTCAAACCTCTCAAGACATCTTAATATTTGCTTTATTTATGAAGTAGTTATACTTTAATTTAACAAGTTAAAGTTAAAAGCATCAGCATGTAGATTGTGTCATCCATATGAAGTGCATAATGACCCTATTTCTATGTAGCTCCTCAACCACAGTGGATGTAGAGCTGGACCCAACCACAGCCCACCAGTACCTTGTGCTTTCCCCCGATGGAAGAGATGGAGGGAATTATCAAAAACAAAGGTTACTGGGTAGTCGTGCATTACGAAGACAAAAAGTACGCAGCCCTGACAGTACCACCAGTCAGCCTCCCCTTGAAAGAGAAACCTGAAAAGGTCGGAGTGTTTGTGGATTACGAGGAACGTCTCGTGTCCTTCTACGATGTGATGGCTAAATCTCACATCTACACGTTTACCGAGTGCATGTTCAGCGATCTGATTCCTCCATATTTCAGTCCACATCCTAAACAAAATGAGAAAAACTCCCATCCTCTGATTATCTCTCCTGTGAAGAAGCAGTTGTAGTTATATGAAGCGAATAGTTACCGGTGCACTAAAAGTTCAAATGCACCACTCACTGTAAATATCAGTACAGGTGTACATGATATTTCATGAGACTACCAAAGGGTTTACATTTTAGGGTTTTGGCCTGGGCATCTGAGATTGTCTACGATTAGTTTTACGTGTTAAATAGTTTGAATTTAAACTTTTAAAATGATTACTGTGTGTACCTACATTATCCTTAATGATATTTTAATAATTTCCTAAGCCTTGAATAATCAGTAACAGTTTGTTCACTTCGGTCACTTCAAATGGGTTGTAGGCTATCCCCTTTCGGTATGAGTCAGCATTGTGGTCGTCTCCTGCTAGCTGTCATAAATGGACTCTCTTTTAGTTTTCAGGTACATTTTTGAAGTTACACTTATTATAACTTGTTCGTTTCTAACCATACTTTTTAACTAAATGGAGAATTTCTGTTATCAGACATGTGTATCTTAAGCTAGCAGACACACTAGCTAACATTAGCAGGAGCAGAATAGCATCCAAAAAAAACTATTTTTAACTTCAAGCTACTTTAATCTGTGTTTCCATCAGTCATTATAACAAAGACTGTTTATTGTTTAGAGTAGGACACTGTGGAGTCTATTTTTATATAACATTAAAAGATGGATTCTTATTATTACATTATATGCTTATTGTGCTCATGAGATGTTGCTATGACTATGGAATAAATAGACACAATCACCAATCCCAGGTTCTGATGGGTTGGTTACGAAACGAAGAGAAAAGTCATAGAAGAAAGTTTTATATAATAAATTATACATAAATGTACGGGCAGAGGCCTGAATAATACAAATGTATGACCACACAAGGTTCAATGCTTCTTTCCGGAAATAGAGTTACAGATTACAGCTCTGCTGCCTGTGATTTATTTGACTTAATGGAGTATTGGTCAAGTGAAATATATATTTTGCTCTCTTTTAATACATAGTTAAACTTAGAAGTTGTTTGAAACTGCTATTGACATGTGCAGAAAATGACCTTATATCTAGTTTTCATATATATATGCATTTATTTATGTTTCCCCTTGTTTTTCTTTCTTTCTTTGTACTCTTTAATTTCTATACGTTTTTGACGCAACAATGCCAATGTTATATTAGGATGATTCACAGGAGGGCTACTTCCCATAAGCTCTATGCTTCAGCCCTCCCGCTTCTACTAATTTTGTTTATCTTTGTGTGTATGAATTATACTTTTTTCTTTTTTGGATGAATTAATAGAATAAATAAATAAAAAAAGAAGTTGTTTGTCTAATAGTTAATTCACATGAAAAATGTGCACCAATAGAGCTTGGATGAATGTGTAATCAATATCATAACTGATTTCACAACAGCACAATGCATGACAAAAGTAGTTTTCTTTCATTATTACATCATTCTATAAACATGTTTTACTTCCTTCAGGAGAATAGTGTGTAGTTGCATTATTACTAAGATTCTCTTGTTTTTTCGTTGCCCTTTTTTTCCGTTGCGGCTACATTTTGATGAGTAAACCTGCTTTATCAGGTGTACCTGAGATTATGAGTGTTCAGGAAATGACAGTCCAACAGGACAGCCCTCCTTTTACATTACATTGCATTTATCTGACACTTTTATCCAAAGCGACTTACAATAAGTGCGTTCGACCAAGAAGATACAAACTAGAAGAAAACAGAATCATTTAAGTACATCAGGTTTCATAGAGCCAACACATTTCAAGTGCTACTCAACTAGCTTTAGATAAGCCAGTCCTTTATTAGTATATACGTACTTTGTTAGTAATTGTATTGTTCCTTCCCAGCTCTGATAGGTGTGCCTATAAATAAACAAAATGTAACGAAATCTACCTATTATCATCTCTTCAGTTTAATATTTAACATATCATGTGTTGCTAATGCCCCCACCCTCATGCTAGCTGTTTCCCAGGGTTTACAGTCATTGTGCTAAGCTAGGCTAACTGGCTGATGGTCAAAGACATAATTAACAGACATGTGTGACAATGGTATGGATCTCCTTACCTAACTATCCACCAAAAAGCTAATAAGTATATTTCCGAAGATGTCAACATTTTGTTTAAACAGAGTCATTGAAATGTATTCCCTGTTGAAATGTTAAGCTAGGGATGTCCCGATCTAATTTTTTAGCTTCCGATCCGATTCCAATATTTTCATATAGGTTCCGATCCGATCCCGATATTTCCCGATACCGGTTTTCCGATACCGATTTCCGATATCACTTTTTGTGTTGGCAAACAGCATTTAATTTCGTATACATTAAGAAATAGACAGGCACCCAAATAATTTATTAGACGACAAAAACCGGAGTTTTCCACAAGTGAAATTGGCTGGTCGTCCCCTGCTATGCACTCCACAATCAGCTCAGTAATCTTGCGAAATCTCTCGGAGTCTCGAGGAAGTAAAGCCTTTCGTTTCAAGCTGTCCCGCAGTGTTTGTTGATGGAGTCCATCAGTCGCAGACGCTGTCGCTTTACAGTAGGTGGCGTGTTCGTCGGGGTGGTGCTTTTTAAGATGTTTTATTAGGTTTGTGGTGTTGTAGGAGACCCTGTTAGCACCACCTCGTGAGACTTCCACACCACAGACTTTGCATGTCGCAGTCGGCGACTCACTTGTAGTTATTTTAAAATGATGCCAAACTGCAGACATTTTAACTAGCTAACGATATGTGTCCGTTCCACTTTTCCAACTCGATAATGGCGGCTGATGCAATAGAACAACAACGACAAACAACGTAACAACGTAACAATGGAATCATGGGAAATATTAACTATGGATCGGCCATGACATTTAATTGGATCTACCGATCCCGATCCACCTTAAAACCCAGTATTGGGGGCCGATCCGATCCGGGGATCGGGACATCTCTATGTTAAGCCCACTTTTCTTTAAAACAAGAATATTGAGCAATAATTATTTCTACAGAGCAGGAAACCTCGAAACAACATTAAAAAAAGAAATGAAGCTCAGCGCAAGTTCAGACAGGAAGACCTATCACTCCGTATCGCATGTCATGGCAATACTCGCTCCCTTCACTAGATGACAGGGAGCGCCACTCCTTAGCTAACCTATCACTTCCCTCCAATCACAAGCCTAATCATCGCATCTGCTAATCCCTCTATATAATGCTCTCCCCTTTACTATCAGCTGTCTTCCAGGTGTCAACGCGCAACACACAGACGGCAATTGTCAAACTAACCTCTTAAATTCTCAAGACGTACGACCCAGAGTATTCAGACTAGGGGTTTCATAACTACCAATATTTACTAGTCGACACGTTTTTCAAAATAGCAGTCGACTAGTCGACTAGTCGTTACGTCATAATAAAGACACACAAAGAGAGGTGTACAACTGTATTTTATATCGGAACTCATACAGTTACATTAAACACTGCATTTTAATTTGTGTTACATGGCTGAGTAAATAACAAACAGTAACTGGACTTAGTAAATAACAAACAGTAACTGGGGCCTATACTACGAATCTAGTTCAACCTAACCTGGATATGTTTGAGTTAGCCGGTTGGCCTAATCCAAAACATACGCGCTCTCGCTAAACTGTACTACGACGCGGGTTATCAAGTGGATCGCTCAAACCAGCCGTTTCCTATCTAGTTAGGTGTTCACGTGAAAGGGGTGGTATTTTGAGCATTCGACCAATCAGAAACATGGAGAAGCGTACTGACAGCGCAGCGTCATACTTCCTGAATGAAAAGTGAACTTTAATACTAGTCAAAAATGAAGAAGTTAAACTTTAAACATCCATGACTTAAACACTTTATCCAGGATAAAAGCCACATAGTCTGCACCTGCAAGGTGAATACAGCTGGCAAAAGAAAAAGTGTTTGAATTTTACTAGAATTTGAACTCTTACTGATATGTGATGGGTCCAGGCTCAAGGGCGTATGGCACTCTCAACTCTTTCCAGGACATGTCGGGGCCCTGCCTGCCAGTAGCTTTGCCGATATCTGTGTTGATAGGTAATAGATTAAGAGCGGTGAATCATAGAAACAGGAAGCGCTCAAACGTTTGTGTGAGTGTATCTAATTTAGCAGTGATTCCATGTCAGCCACAGCTTGTTACAAAAAACATGACTGATAGTGTGTTTAACAAACTTAAACTAGCTTTATTAAATGTCAGGTCTCTGGCAGGAAAAACATTTTTAATCAATGATTTTATCACTGAGCCCAATCTCGATTTTATGTTTTTAACAGAAACTTGGATTGAACAAAATAACAGTGCAGCTGTTCTTATCGAATCAACCCCTCCCAACTTTAGTTTTATGAGTCAGGAAAGAACGCATAAGAAAGGGGGTGGAGTTGCTATTCTGTTCAATGATTCCCTTCAATGCAGGAAGACATCGTATGGAAACTTTGATTCTTTTGAATATGTGGCCCTTCGGCTGAAATGCTCCTCTCGAGCTCTGTTCCTAAATATCTATAGACCACCCAAATACTGTGCAAGCTTTTTTGATGACTTTACTGAACTGCTGTCTATAGTGTGTATTGACTTTGACCGTCTAGTCATTGTTGGTGATTTTAACATCCATGTTGACAACCCCCAGGACAGAGGGGCTAAAGAACTGTTTTGTGTTCTTGATAGCTATGGACTGACTCAGCATGTGACGGAGCCCACGCACAATAAGGGGCACACTCTGGACTTAATTATCTCAAAGGGTCTGAATATCTCTAAGGTTGTGGTGACTGATGTTGCACTCTCTGACCATTCCTGTGTTTTCTTTGAGAGCTCTATTTCTGTTCACAAAAATGTTCAAAAAGTGGTAACCACAAAGCGATATTTAACTGAAAACACTAGGGAAATGTTTACTCAGAATTTCTCTTCCACACTTGCCCCTGCCAACATCTCAGTAAATGAGTTAGTAGATCATTTTAATTCAAAAATTAAAAATGTTATAGATGCCATTGCTCCAACTAAGGTAAAGGAAGTGTCTGGCAAGAAAATATCTCCATGGAGAAAGGCCATGACCGTGAAAACAGAAAAAAGAGAATGTCGAAAAGCTGAACGCAGGTGGCGAAAAACAAATCTCCAGGTTCACTTTGAAATCTATAAAGAGAGACTTGGCCTTTATAATTTGGAATTGAAAAACGCACGACAATCGTTCTTCTCTGACATCATTACCAAAAACAATGCACGTGCCTTGTTTGCTACCGTCGACAGACTAACTAACCCCCCAGTGTCAGTAGCCTCTGAATTTCTATCCACCAGGGCGTGCAATGATTTTGCCTCCTTTTTCACTGACAAAATTCAGAAAATCAGACAAGCAGTCAGTGCCTCTGCATCAGGAACAGCAAATGTGTTGTCCCTATCTCCACTTAACATCAATTCAGACATCATGACACAATTCCATCAGATTAATGATAAAAACCTAGAGGACATTATTCAACTTCTGAAATCCTCCTCTTGCTGCCTTGATATTATTCCAACAGGATTTTTCAAAGATGTTTTGCCTTGCATGGCCTCAGATCTGCTTCATATAGTAAACAAATCTCTTCACTCAGGTATTTTTCCACAGGCCCTGAAAACTGCAGTCATTAAACCGCTCTTAAAAAAGAATAATCTAGATGCTTCAGTAATGAACAATTACAGGCCCATATCAAACCTCCCATTTCTAGGTAAAATCATTGAAAAAGTTGTTTTTCAACAGTTGAGTAATTTCTTGCATTTAAATAACTGTTTCGATGTGTTCCAGTCAGGCTTTCGTCCAAACCACAGCACTGAGACTGCTCTTGTAAAGGTCTTTAATGACATCCACTTAAACACAGACAGTGGCAGAACTTCAGTGTTAGTATTATTAGATCTCAGTGCTGCGTTTGACACTGTTGACCACAGCATATTACTAGACCGACTGGAGAACTGGGTGGGACTTTCGGAAACAGTTCTGAATTGGTTTGAATCCTACTTAAAGGACAGAAACAACTTTGTTTCTATAGGTAAATACACATCTGAGTTGACAAATATGACATGTGGGGTTCCTCAAGGCTCCATCTTGGGGCCTCTTCTCTTTAACATCTACATGCTACCACTGGCTCAGATAATGAAGAACAACAAAATAAGTTACCATAGCTATGCAGATGACACACAAATTTACGTAACAATTTCACCAGGAGACTATGCTCCAATTCAAACACTGAGTAAGTGCATTGAACAAATCAATGACTGGATGTGTCAGAACTTTCTCCAATTAAACAAAGATAAAACTGAGGTAATGGTTTTTGGAGCCAAGGCAGAACGT